GTTTTAAAGAAGGTCAGAAGTCACTAGTGCCCTCCAACCTCCCCCTCTAAACTCCCTGTTAGCTGTTCCTGTTCACAAGCTCCCTGGGCGCTGAGTCACAGGCTTATATAGCTCTGGTAGCCCCTCCCCCTGACTGAGGCTCAGCCAATTAACAGAGGCTTCTAGATTTCAAACCTTTTAGAAGCTCCTTCAAACAAACAAACAAACAAACAAACCAAACAGACAAACACAAGCTCAGCACACAGCAAATAACTCCCCCCCACACAGACACACACTCCAGACAGCCACTTACCACAAGGGACCCACTTTTACTCCTCTTTTACCTGGAGAACTCCCTCTCCAAACTCCCTGTTAGCTGTTCCTGTTCGCAAGCTGAACAGGACTTCACTTTGATGTGTAAAAGGGAAGTCAAATCCCCCGGAGCTATTGATTCCCCTATGAGGGGCACGTACAATAATTATACATTGCTAATGCTTAGATATATTTGCTATTTGTATAGGAGTAAGACATGACAAAGGTCAAGGCCTGTCACAGGTAATAACTTATAATAAGGAGACGAGGGGAAGTGAAACCAGTCTTCTGTTAAGTGGAGATATGGATAGATTCCACATCCTTTAAACTTGTGACCGGCTCAAGCAGGAAAGGGAAAAGGGAGGTATGGCTCACCCATTGTTCAGCAAAAGTGAATGAATGTAACACAGCTGTAACTGCAAAGTCAGCAAGTAGGCACTGTATTTAACCTCATTTGGAAAATTAACCTGACCTATAGGAATGCTAAATGTCAAAGATGAAGTAACCTATCATGTTAAGGCACCTAAACCAGGAAAGATGTGAACCCTATAAAAACCCCTGCCTATGAGATGTTGGGGGTCGGCTCTGCTTTGAACATTGAGTTCCTTAGCCGTACCTTGGTTGCAACCAATAAACTTGAGTTGGACCCAGCCTGAAAGTGTGACTCTCTTCTTGGGGTAAATCAGACTAGCCTCCAAGGGGACGAAACCTTGCAATTTATGCAACAAAGGCTTGGGCATAAGCAACTTTGGCAGAGACAGGACATGCCCATCAGCACAAATTTTAGGTGTGTGGACTGCTGACAAAAACTTTTGATTTTTTTTTGAGGATTTCAGTGGTGCTTAAAGAGTTAGATGTAGTTGCCTAAAGTGGCAGTTAGGTACTTCATTCCTTTGTGGAGGTAACCCCTAACCACTTACTAAGCTGATCAGCACCTTAAGCACATTTTTTACTTAGTGACAAAGCCACAATGCACTATGCACACCTAACTGCCAAATTAAAAGTGACATTTAGCTCCTCAAAACCCCTGTTTAGTTGTTGTCTAGCTCTATAGGCATGTAAAGTCCTTTTGGCACCTAAATATCTGCTAGTGTGCATAAACAAAGCTGTTAAAATCCTGATAATGCAATGCTGGCTGGCAGCTAAACCCTCATGTGATCATCAGTCAAGGCCTTCCCTTTCCTCCCATGCTGCCTAATCAGAGACTCCTCAGATCAATTCCCACACAGGACAGATGAGTTAGAGCAATGCCTATTTGTAATCTAGTGTTAAGAGTGCCACTTAAGTTCAAATCACTGCTCTGAATCATCTTAGATCTCCCAGATCCTGAATGAGTCCCCTACCCATTAGAGTAATGGGCATTGGTGTCACCATTTCCATCATCATCTTTTGCCTGAAAGGGATGATTCGACCACCAAGTTCAAGTTCGTTGCCTTTCACCATCTTAAATTAGGCATCAATGCATAAGGGTAAAATTTTTGGCATGGATACTTTTAATAAAAGTCATGGCCAAGATATGGGCAATAAACAATGAATTACAGAAATGTACATTGTTATGCAGTTTTCATTACATCAGTACTGAAGCTGGAGCCCCACTGTCTTTGTACAGGGGTGGGGGACCTTTTTTGGGTCAGGGCTACTGCCCCACAGTAAAATCAGAAAAAGCACCCTTAGGGTACATCTAAACTACATAGCTCTGTTGATGGAGCCATGTAGATTAGTGTACTCGAAAAAGGGAAATGAAGCAGTGATTTAAATAATCGCTGCTTCATTTACATCAAAATGGCTGCCGCACTGTGCCGATCAGCTGTTTGGCAACACAGCGCGGTAGTCTGGATGCTCTGCGGGCGACAACGGAAGCCCTTGTCGACCGCCCTGGTAAACCTCATTCCGTGAGGCATAACGGGGCGGTTGACAAGGGCTTCCCTCTACCTTGTCGACTGTGGAGTGTCCAGACTACCGCACTGTGCTGCCAAACAGCTGATCAGCACAGCGTGGCAGCCATTTTGATGTAAATGAAGCAGCGATTATTTAAATTGCCGCTTCATTTCCCTATGTCTAGAAACCTCATCTATTTGGCTCCGGCGATGGAGCCATGTAATCTAGACATACCCTCAGTAGTCCCTGACTGAGACAGAGAAAGACATTCCCCTTGCACACCAGAGCCTACGGAGGCTCAGGCTTGTAGATTTTGTGTGTTCCAGCCCCACAGTGGAGTGGGCTGGAGTACCAGCACAGGCTTCCCAATGCTGGAAGGGAGCCCTGGGCCTTGGTGCCTGGATCCAGGCAAGCTGGGGGGGGCCACATCTGGACCCTGGGTCTGAGGTTCCCCACTCCTGACTTAGAGGCTGGGTATTGCTCATAAAAAATAACACAATCTGTGACAGATTTGTAGACATTTCCATACATTGTACTTGGCTGCTTTATGCAGATGGCTGTGGATAGCACTAGGTGGCAGAGGATACCTAAACATTAGGCATTGCAACACTGATGCTAAGTCTCCCTTTTTAGATCTAGCCCTATATTAACACAGTTTGTTGAGTAGAAATAAAATAACTTAAAGAGATGTGTTCACTCTGGTATCCTCATAACTCAGACCATTTTTTGTGAGTGTACTCATGCATAGAAGTCATATAATGCTGGATACTCCGTCTAAAATGACAGACATCAGCACAGAGCAGTTGCAAGTTTGGTTTATAATTTGTCCTTGGCAAATAATGTATTACCCCTATTCATCTTAAGAAACTGTTGCTTATTCTAACCCCCTAAGCCAAGTGTTGCCAATCTGAGCCTGAGAAGGAGCCACAGTTTACCAGTGTACATGACCAAAGAGCTATAGTAATTTGTCAGCAGTCCCCATCAGGTGCCTCCTCTCCCGTCCCTGGTATCTTTTGCTCACCAGCACCTCCACTGATCAGTGCCTTCTGTTCCTTCTCCTGCCTCTTGGCCACTGCAATCAGCTGTTTCATGTCACTCAGGAGGTTCTGTGGTGGGGGGGAAGAAGCGAGGGTGCAATTCACTTGGGCTATGGCTACACGGTAGCCTTCTTCTGGAAAGCTTATGCAAATGAAGTGTGGCATGGAAAATTACTGTGCTACATTTGTATAATTAATTAGCAGCTGCTTTTGCGCAAAAAGGAGCTGTGTAGACAGCTCCTTTTTGCACAAAAACCCCCTCTTGCGCAAGAGCCGTTCTTCCTGAAAAAATGAAGAATGGCTCTTGTGCAAGAGGGTTTTTTGCGCAAAAGTGGCTGCTAATTAATTATGGAAATGAAGCACGGCGATTTTCTATGCCACGATTCGTTTGCATAAGCTTTTCCAGAAGAAGGCTACAGTGTAGCCGTAGCCTTAGAGGAGGAGATGGAGCCAGAAGTTGAGCACTGGAAAGTAGGCACCGGTAGCTGCAGCCCGCGAGTCAGTGCCTAAGCAAGGAGCAGCATATTAATCCAGAAGAGCCACAGATTGGCCACCCCTGCCCTAAGCCTTCCTCCCACAGTCAATATTTTTTCGAGTAATTTAAACTTCAATTTGTATGAGGAGAGCAGGTGCAGTATGCAGTGAGAAATGCTATTGATGCCATATCATGGTTCAATAACTGAGTAGCCCTGATGTTTGTTAGCAGTTAATTCAGTGATGGGTACCACTATGAGATTAACAATTAATCAGTACATGAAAACAACAAGGCTACGTCTAGACTGGCGTGATTTTCCGAAAATGCTTTTAACGGAAAAGTTTTCCATTAAAAGCATTTTCGGAAAAGAGCGTCTAGATTGGCACGGACGCTTCTCTGCAAAAAAGCCCCGATCGCCATTTTCACAATCGGGGCTTTTTTGCGGAAAACAAATCTGAGCTGTCTATACTGTCACTTTTGCGCAAAAATTTTGCACAAAAGGACTTTTGCCTGAACGGGAGCAGCATAGTATTTCCGCAAGAAGCACTGATTTCTTACAGTAGGAAGTTAGTGCTTTTGCGGAAGTTCAAGCGGCCAGTGTAGACAGCTGGCAAGTTTTTCCAGAAAAGCGGCTGATTTTCCGGAAGAACTGGCCAGTCTAGACACAGCCCCCAGGTTATATGCCCAAACTGTGCAATACCATTTTGGAAGTATGTAAATATAACATATACCCGAAAAGGGAATCATGATGGATAGCCAGTTTTTTATATAATCCACAGTCTTATTTTTGTGATCTATAAAACACTCACAAACCTTGGACTGCCTTAAAAAAAAATCTTTGCTGAAAAGTAACAGTCTAATCCAGGCAGATTTAAGGAAGCATCAACTAACCAATCTTTTGCAAAATAAGTTCTTCTGATTAACGAGGAAAGTAGCATTGAAACTAGGTGGTCAGCCAAAAATCAAGATATAAATTAAATAAAAACCAAGTGTTACTTCTAAACAGATTGGGAAACAGTCCTAGTTTTGATATGATTTTCTGCAAAAACAGAAGAGAAATTGCCCCAAAAAGAGAGAACCTTTTTTCTGCCTCTAGGCAACCCTCCTCCTCCCACCAACAATACAGTTGCAAGACAGAACAGAAGATTGAAGAAGAAATAATTACAAGTCACTATTCATTATTGATGACTATTTACTAGTGTACCTTGTGGGAAAAAAAAACCTGAAAGCCAAAAGCGGCTGGGATGTCCTTGAATGCTGTTGGTGGATATATTGGGTTTCTCGCCAGTTGGTGATGAAAATGAGATCCCAGCTGGTTTGGCTTGTTTCTGAAGCATCATTATGTTGTTATACCTGTTTTTTAAAAGTGTAATTCATATTTTAAGCAGGCTTTTTAAACACACCCTCAAAAAGCAGCAAAATTATCTCACTTGTATGAAAACAAAACCTTTCTTTGTCATTATTCTTAAAGGTATATAAATTCCCTAGCAAATTTTCTAAACACTGTTAGATAAAACACATAAAATTAACAAATGAATGGCTGACCATGAGCAGTAAGACTGCAACAAATCATATGTACTGTATGTGTGAGAGAGTTTGTGTCTTTTTTTCTCCATCTGTCTGTGAGTCTTTTCAAGAATGCCTCTAAGAGCTAGGACCACCAACATTTCTTATGCATATCCTCTCTTCCAAGCAAGGTAAGGGTACTCAATGGTTCAGTTTTCAAACAAACACCTTTCATTCTTTCTCTCATGCTGACTCCCATTCTTGGGAAAAGCTCCCATAAACATTTGCAAAACTAATTCTCTTCAGAGGGGTAGCCGAGTTAGTCTGCAACTGGAAAAACTTATAAAACAACTAATAGTCTTGCAGCACCTTAAAAACTAACAAAACACGTATGTATGTATGTATTGTATGTAGGTAAGACTATTTGTTGTTTTATAATAGAGATGTAGCTGTGTTAGTCTGGTCTTGCTGAAACAAAAGACAGGACTATGCAGTACTTTAAAGACTAACAAGATGGTTTATTAGGTGATGAGCTTTCGTGGGCCAGAACCACTTCCTCAGATCAAATTGTGGAAAAAAATTGGCATGAATGGGTGGAGGGGACAAAGGGGGGAGGTTAGTGTCTATGAGATAATGCTATTAGGGGTGATCATTGAGGAAGCTATCTTTGTAATGGGTAATCTTACCCATTAAAAAGATAGCTTCCCCAATGATCACCCCTAATATCATTATCTCATAGACACTAACCTCCTCTCCCCCTCCCCCCCACCGTTCTAAAATCTGATTTGTCAGTTTTACGTGTTCACTTTTTTTTATTGTATCCCTTTGGTATATATGGTCATGCCAATTTTCTTCCACAATTTGATCTGAAGAAGTGGGTCTGGCCCACAAAAGCTCATCACCTAATAAACCATCTTGTTAGTCTTTAAAGTGCTGCATAGTCCTGTCTTTTGTTGTTTTATAAGTTTTTCTAATTCTCCTTTCCTCCTCCTAA